AGCATCACTTAGATGCCAGTTTTAGATTCTAAACTTTTCATGTGTTGTGCAGGGCATCCTGATTTATGTGGTCATGATGTTTGAAAATTATTGGACTGTTTTCCCAAATTACTGTCAGCTACTGGGACTGTGATGACCAAAACTAATTTCAAAAGCAACATCATTTAATTACCTCATTTAACAGGGATAAATCAGGTACTGATTTATCTCTGTTAAATGAGGTAATTTAATGATGTTGCTTTTGAATGCTAAAATATGATGTTGGTTTTGAATGCTAAAATAAAAATGTACAGGTAACAACTGATACTTGTTACCTGTACATTTTTATCTTGTCCAACTTTTTGTTGTCCCTTCTCATGGGTCTGAAAGTGACTGCTGATGCTATTACTTCCCTTGGCTTCCCTTAGCTCCTCTGGGACAGAGGAGAAAAACAAAGGATGGGCTGCTAATGTGGTCTTTCCTTCCACTTCATCAGGTAATAAAGTTTCTCTCTAGATTTTATTATTATATTTATTCTGTAAAGTACACATGCACACATTAGGAATATTAGTCATATTTCTAAATGTTATTGAAATTTATAATATTTTAACATGTACCTAAGTGCTTTGTTCAGATAAAAAAAGTGGCCTTCCTAATTAGTTATTTCTATTTACTACTTCTGTCCAAAGATGACATAGAAATGGAGATACTTTTACGAATCTCTGTCTTAATCACTGTCAGGTTGTCCCATTTTCCCAAGGACATTGAAAAAGAGTCTGGCATGGAGAAGAGCAGAAAGGGACTGAAGGCTGGCAATCTAGAAGAAAGCATATGAGCAGCATAGCCCCACGAGCAAAGTGGTCCTCGGAAGAGTAAGACAAGAAATATATTCCTGTAGGAGGACAATAATGAGGAGAGAAAGCATCAGTTTCAGGAGACATAAAGAAGGGAGATGCTTATGGGTCTGTCCACATGTGCTGTACCACAGCATATTTGCCTGCCCACACACACAAACAAGTTCATAGCACATCCTGATATCAATGTTATTCTGTCAAGAAATGTTCAGGTTTAAGGAAACTGTTATCTGGGCTCCCCTGACTTCTGCTAGTGCTGACTCAAACAAATTCCATTATAAGCCCCTGCACATTTTTTACATTTATTTTTAATGAATGTCTCTTAAAAAAAACCCCAAAAAACAAACCCCCAAACATACTCCTAGAATATTTCTTGAAATTAAATAAAGTTCTAGACATCCGACAGAAGACATCTAGAAAAAATGATAATAAAAATTCAGTCGTGCTTCTACCAGAAAACTCCCAATGAGGTGACGAAATAAAACCAGGCAAAGTGAAAAGAAGGATTAAATAAGGTGAATAGAGATTAAGTTAATTCAATACAATGCCAAAACAACCTTTCTGTAAGACTCCCTGGTGAAATCAATGTTAGGTAGTTTGAAAGTACAACCTTCAAAGAATAACAGCAAGAAAAACAATAAGCATGCTGCTTTTAAGAAAATTTACCCTGAGGGACAAACCATTTTACTTGGACAGGAAAGTGGAATCTATACCTAATTTTATCAGCAAGAGGAAACTTAGAATTTACCTGTCAAATATTTATCTGGTTAAAAGAACAAAAATTACTGAAAACATTCAAAGTACAATTCAGATTAGTAAGTCATTTTAACTTGTAATGATAGGGCAAGTTTTTGAAGGTGTTTCAGTAAATGTCTCCAGAGATGGTGGGTTATCCACCTTCTCCAAATGCAATATTTATCAGGGGTCAAAGCCCAAAAAGTGTCTGACCATGACAATAAGATTCAGCTGATGGAAATATGTTGCCAGCAGTGATATGCAGCCTTCAACCTGCTGGCTCTTGCACACTGCATAGGATCAGCTGGCCAAATTGCTGTCAGTAAAAATTGAGATATATTTTATGAAGCCTTCATGTGAGTCTAGACATAAGCATTAGATGTGAAGCTGTAAGCCTTTTCATATCCCTGCACAGATATTCCCTCTTCAGGTGAGCAAGCTGCAGTCCCCTCGTGCTCCATCCCTGCCCACCACAGCGTCCCTGCCCTGGCCTTGCCCCAGTTTGTTGATGCCTTTCCCGCACTGTAGAGCCCCAAACTGGACACAGGGCTCCAGGTGTGGTCCAACAGCTGCTGGGTACAGGGAAAAATCCCTTACCTTGATCTGCTGGCTGTGCTTCTGCCCAGGGCACTGCTGGCCTTCACTGCTGCCAGGGCTCCTGTTGAAGATTGCAATGCAGGTTGTTTTCCATTACCATCTGTATGACAGATTACCTTTGTCAAGTGGGCAGTTTGCTTTATCTCTCTTTGAGTGACCACATTCACACCTTCCTCGGGAGGGGACATTGCTGGTAACAGACTATTGAATGGCACTGCATGACTGATAAGAACTATAACTTCCCATCATGAGACGCTCTGCCCAGAGGGAGGAGTCAGGCATTGCTACCAAGATATAATCCACAAGCTTTTGAGACACCAGCATGGCTTTCTCCGCTGGATTCCCCAGAGAAACAGCAACTGTCTTCTTCTTCCACGGGATCTTCAGAGGAAGAATACATCCTTCTCTACAGATTTCCCTTGTTCCAACAGAACCACGCCTGACACTTCAGAAGGGCTGCAGCCACATTTCCAATTGGACTGCCACCAACACCCTGATCCACAGGGTGTCAGGTTGGGTTCTGACTCTGTCAGTGTCGTTCCAGTCTACTGCATTGTTTATTTTATCCTTTTATTTTCTTTCCTATTAAAGAACTGTTATTTCCTGCTCCCATATTTTTGCCTGAGAGCCGCTTAATTTAAAATTTACAGCAATTCAGAGGGGTGGGGAGGGTTTACATTCTCCATTTCAGGGGAGACTCCTGCCTTCCTTAGCAGACTCCTGTCTTTCCAAACCAAGACAGCTCCCTGCTGGCCTGGGCTCAGCTGCTCCCCAGCTGTAACACACTGTCAGAGGTCACACAGGCTGCTCCATCCCAGTGCTGAACACAGAGCTCAAGAAATAACACGTGCTATTTCTTTCCTTCATGAGTTACTGCATGAGTAGTCCTTCTTGGGTGTAGTGACTTGAACAAATATTAATCTTCTAGATATTTTTTTTAGAATTGCCACTGTGATATATGGGTGAAAGACTGACTATTATGAAGATGTTGATCTGTTTTGTAAGATAAAATGTGATTAAATAAAATATAATGACTTGAGAATATATCACTTGAAACAAATTTCAATAATTTTTAGACCATTTTTTTCAGTTTGAAGAATCCCTAAATATTCTTTTTTTTCCTAGGAGTGCAGAAAACTTTGACTAGCAAATTTAAATCCACTGACTGTGGATTTCATATTCTTAATTATCACAGAGCTCAAGGGTTAAAGGAGCACTGTTTGAAAACCAGTGGTAGATCGCTCAGCAAGCAAATACCTCAGGCCAGTAAGTCAGGAAGCAGCTGGAGGTAAAGGCAGAGGTGGCAGATTATGTGGACTCATGTATTTTTTCATGTTTTTCTTGACCATTGAATTCAAAACTGAGCTGTTTAACTTAGATCTCTAGTCTTATTTATAATACTTGACAGTGCTCTGCAGAGAATAAAATATGCTTTAGTGTTGGATCCAAATGCCAAATGAATATAGAGATGGAAATGAGATGTGCAGATGCATCTGTGTTCATAATCCATTCACAGCGTTAATGCAGAATGAAAGCTGCAGCTCTCTATTGCCCCCTTGCCTGGCTGAAATCTGTTCCCACACAGCTCTTCTTGTAATGGAAGATGAGCACCTCCTGAAAGATGAAACCTGAAAAAAATGGGTTCTCAAAAGAAGAGATAAAATTCCCAACCCAGACCTCAGAAGCGATGAAACATTAAATGAAACATTGACATCTCAAAATCATGGAAAAAAAATGGAATAAGATCAATGAAAATTTTACACCTTCCCATTTTTCATCAATTTTTGTATCTCCAAGGTGATTTTTTTTCTTGGTTGCTCTAAGTCCAAGTAGAATATTTTTGGTTAACAACTGCAGAAAAGGAATATTTCAGCTGTAATCTTGCTGTTGCAGGGCTCAAGTCTTTGGCACACATATGATTTTGAAATTCTTTCCCTGCTTTTTGAAATGCTTTCCCTGTGTACAAGTCAGAAACATCACTTTTAAAATGTACATAAGATAATAAATTAATAATTTCTAATCTATGAATAACATATATTTTATCAAGAAATACAACCTTACATGACACAAATATATTTACATATCCAAATATTGAAAAGCAAAGACACAAAAATGGTGTAGTGAAACAATGTCTTATTCACCATGAAATACAAAGTAAGCCTAAAATGTGTCTCTCTCCTGAGGCTGAATAATCAGATCTTTTTTTTTTCCCTTTCTTGCTCACTCCCTCCTGCACTCACTTTTCTCCTTTTCAACATCCCTTAGAGAAAAGTCTTGCCATTTATCACAATCAGAGGATTCAAACTTGAATGCAAGAACCCCAAGTTCTTCTGCCTTGAACTGTCTCATTGAAGAAGCACATACAGACATTGGGCAGATGGTTCTCCCAGCTTCCCTCATGCAAGAAATGTCATGACTTTCTGTCCCTACCCAATAAAAAAAATAACAAAAAATACCAAAAATAAAAAAAGAAGCATTTTTCACAATTACTGGATCTTGGCACTCTAATTCTCCATTTCAACCAAATGTTCCTCCAGTCTCTACCTCTGTAAAGATCAAGCACACAAAAAATAGCTAACATGTAGTTCTTCAACACTCATGCTGTGCTGTCGCCTAACTGTAGCAAATCCTGGTGTTTAGTTGGTAATGGGGTAAGAGTTAGATCTGGAGCTTAAGCTCTCTGCTTGTGACTTAGCCACTACAGGCTCCTTTCATTGCTAAAGGAGAGAATCAGACCTTTAGGGAAGCTTTCATCCCATCCTAAGTCTGATATCTGAAATGGGACAGAGGGAGATGTTTTAAACGTGCCAAGGACAAGAATATCACAACTCTTACCAAGCTACAGTTGTAGTGCATCAGCCAGCTGAGCAGGTGGCTTACAGCTGCTTTTTCAAGGCTTTTGAAGTTTGCAGGAAAACTGAGTGTACTCTGTTGGGATAAGGACAAAATAGGATGGGTAAAAAACTGTAGTAAAATTGGCTAAATCAAAAGTGAAATATTTTCATCTGTGCTGGTTACCTGGGTCTTCCTCTGTCCTAACAGCAGAACAGGAAACCTGGGCCATCCATCTACACTAGAAGAGATGAGATTAATCACATTCTAAACCAAATGGCTGTAAAAGGTGAAATGAATCCCCCCTCTCTAGGACAGATAGGAAACACTGCAGTGGTGACTGTAAAGGGTTTTCATATCAAGAATCATAACATCCCTCTAAGAGTGTTATGGGATACAGATTTCAAAGGACTTATGTGGCGTGAAATATGTTCATTTGAACATCCTGATAATACTGACCCCAGAAACTGAACTTAAAGAATTCTAAATTTATAAGTTATTAAGAGGTATAAGCTGGCTTAAATTTGAACTTCATTACATGCTGAACACATACATACATACAGGAAATGTTCAAAGTCAGGCAGTGAAAATTATGCAAGATTTGAAATTACTTACAAGGAAAGATTATGGGACCCTAATTGCTTAATGGAAGGGCTTATACCTAAAGAGTAAAATTCAGCATGATAACTAGTGTAGAACTGGCATACAGAAAAAAAAAACAAAAACCAGTTATTGGATGTTAGTAAACTGTTAGGAAAAAAACAAGTTAATGTGCGCAATACAATTGGCGTGGACTTTCTATGTCATCAGGATTACTCCCGTGTAATCTTGGTCATCTGTGCCAAAGGAATATTTTAGTAAACTCATCTTAAAGAAAGACAAATCTCCTGCCAATTGAAAGACCATCCCAAATCACCACTTCTCTAATGAAGAAAAAGCTTATCTCAATTTCTATATTAAATTTATTGAAGGCCCTTCTGTACCCTAAAGCTAAATGATGATACCCCTGACTTGACTAGATACAGCAGTCATGCCTATGATTTCATGTGTCATTTGTTTTCTAAATTATGGACATTCTCAGCATTAAAAAGCTTTTTATTTTTGTCTCCATTTTGATTGTATAGCTGTTTGCATTTCCACAAATATTTTTCTCATCAGGCCTTCAAGTGCTCAACAAGTAGGAACTAAGCTGCAGTGTATTGTAAACTCATAGCTGCATTTTCATCCCTATCCATCAATACTGTGCTGCTGCCCCATATCATCTCTCTTCTTTCTTTTGTTATTTGTTTAATGTCCTTGAAATATCTAACTCAGCTTTTTTGCCATGATTCATTTTCCCTGCATGTTTCCTGGCCACTCAGAAAAACCTTTTCTTGTTTTATAATATTACATATAGCAATACCTAGCCATACAATTCTAGCAGAGATGGCCTTTCAACACAATGACGGTTTCTAACAGCTTTCCGGAATGCTTTCCCTTTACTGAAATGCAGAGCAAAAATTATAGGAAATCTTAAAAATTATCTCAGTATTTATTACTGTTTGGTGACCCACAAACCTGGTTGAAAGAAAGAAACATGCTGGTTTTTGATTGATAGAGTGAAATTCATATGAAAATAAAACAAACTTAAGAAGGCAATCATTGGTTGCATTTAAGGAAAGGCCTATTCTGGAAAAAGACTAATGTCCAACATGGTCCTGCCTGGTGAAGCTGTCAGAGCATTATGTTGTAAGAGATGTGACTCACTATGTGTCAGGACAGATCAGAAGCTTGATAATTTCTTCATGATTTTCATTTCAGGAGGTGTAAGAAATTTTCCACAAGGAAATGTTGGAATAATTATTTCAGCTTTCCCAGTTTCTTTCAGTAATGCAAGAATAGTTTTCGTCCAATCAAGTAATAAAGTTTTATCTGTGTTTACTCATTTTCTTTAATTTCATTTAAGTTTCCACAATGTAAATTTTAATCAAAAACATTATATCACAGCACAAATACACATATATAGGATATTCATTGCAGCCTTCCACACCACTGAATCTAGTTTTATTTGTCTGAAAGGAAATTGTACATACATATTTCTATATGAATTCTTTTAAAGTTTTCTCATACATTTTTATTATCTTTGTTCCAGTTGAGAATGAAAACAAGTTCAGAAATGTCAAAATTTCACCTCTGAGACAAAGACTGGTTTTCAACCACCTATTCACTTGCTAGCAGTCCATCATCTACTAGCAGTCTCTCAAGGCTAGAAAATACATCAGAAGAACTATTTAAATACATAGATGGGTATTTCACCAAGAAATGGATAGAATCAGGTTGTGTTCAACATAGTGCTTCCTTTAAATCCTTTCCTACTTAATAGCATTTGTACAATTAATTGATGCTGTTGTAAAAGAAAAAAAAAAACATTAAAATATAAATTAAACAATTAGGATTCTATTTTGCTCCAAGATACTTAACTCATTCCTGTCACCTTCAACAGGAATTGCTTCTAAGAAGCACCATAAACAAGCAAAACAAAACAAAACAAAACAAAACAAAACAAAACAAAACAGATTGAAAATGGATGCTTGTGTAATTTTGCTAATGGTTTGCAAACAGCCTAGGCATGATTTGACACGATAAATGCTATGCTGTTCTATGTGTGTAGATAACTTAGAATCATCAATGTTGCTTGATAATTCAGTCAGAATTAGTGATCAGAAAGCCTCAGCAAAGTAATGAGTATCAACTCAAGTGCTTATTCTAAGTACTTTTCATCTTCTCTTAGACTATTTCTGTGGCTTGCAATCACTGAGGTCCTCCTTTCTGATAAGTAAGAAAGCAGATCAGAAGTATCCTAAAGACTTCATCCATTTTATTCCTTTATATTTTGGCTTCCCTAAATTCTTATTTCTCTTGGCTTAGGGAAAAGAAGAGTACAACAGAAATAAAATTGAATGGGAACATGTTATTGCCCAACATAATGGTTCATGCTCATCTGGATTAATAGATTACCATTGGTAACTCATTTTAAATACAGGGTATGAGAAAAATGAGATTTGGGATTTGGAAGAATAAAATTACAGGGGCTTAGTGAAAGAAAAGAGTAAAAGTTTGAGCTGTGTTTTTGTCTGAAAGTAAAATGCAAACACCTAATGAATGGCACAGAATAGATTTTTAAAGTCAGAACCTCTGCAAATGTCTTCATAAAAACACACCCATGGGACTGTGGTCTTTGGGGCTCAAATCCATGCATAAACACCTGGAGCACATGAAGTGTCCTGAGGCTTCTGGGGCACACACAGAGGGCTAGCAGATATCAGGCACCTACAGCTGGTCCAGGCCCTTTGGGGAAGCAGCCAGAGGCCAGGCACAATACCTAGGGACATCTTGGATGGCACCAGAGGGCTGTTTAGGTAACTCAGTCCAGTCCTGGCTCTGGTACAGGACAACCTGTATTGATAACAGTTCTTCCTCACTTTCTATCTATATGGTTTGTCTCTTGGCCAGTGCTCTTCCCACAAAATCTTCTAAAACCATACTATTCTGAAAGCCACCCAAGTGGTCTTCAGGTGAAAAGTATATTTTAGCTGCTGTCATCCTTTGGTTCTTGTATCTGCCCCTGAGCACCACCATAAGCACATCTCATGTTGTCTGTGTTACCCAGGTATTATCTAGGTGAAACAAAATAAACTCCACCAAAAAGTTCTAAGTTAGATATAATTTTCCTAATTAAACTAGTGGGTTGATACCTACTATCATTCTTCCCACATGTATATGCTGCAATTGCATTACCTGTGTCATTCTTTAATGGTCTCAATAAATTAGAAAAGCCTGGAAGTTTTTTAAATGATATATGTTTCAATAAGACAACATGAAATTAAGGAGTCATGATTAGATCATTTTCCCAGGTTCCTTGTTTGAAATTCTTGATTAAGAACTGTTGCCTGTAAGTTCAATAATGATCTGATATAATGACCACGATTAATATTGTATTAAGAATGTTGAATTTATGAACTACAAAATTGGGCTTGTTCCCAGTTAGTAGCTGTGGTGACAAACCGTCCTGACTAAGCAACTCTCAGGGTATTTCAACAGAACTTGGAAAAAATATATCTTAATTTACCAACTTTATCTGTTTCAAATGTATAGCTGCTAACACATGCCCCTCAAAAGAAAAAGATCAGCAAAGCTCTATTAAAATGTATCCAACATTTTGATAAGATGATAGTTGCATTTAGACATTAATTTTGATAAGATAGACCGTTGCATTTAGACATTAATTTTCTCTAGCACAATTTAGACCAAGTCCTCTGAACTAACTCCGGTAAATTTTTTCTCATGCTCCACCTATATAGCTTACAGCTATCAAAAATTAAAATAGATAGCTGTAAGCATTTGAACTTTTCCAAAAGCTCTTCATCACCTGAAATGCTAGGAACCTCCAAATTTGATCTCCCTTATAATTCCTAATGTAATCTTAGGTCAGAAGACTGAACTGAATTAATGGTTTTTCAGAAACCTCGAAATATAAAAATTCATCAGATACAGAATATGCCACTTGTCAAAATCTCTATAGAATACAGAACTGGAAATTATTTCTCCTTTTCTTGTCTTTCTCTGCAACTACAATCTGAATTGTGCCTCTTCCTGAACAATGCAATGCTGAATTAGAAACCTCAAGAAATCAGGGTAGTTGTAATTAAATGTTATTAAGTACCTTCATTAAATCAAGCATCTAGATCAGAACATCTGTGCTTGATGCATGGATCATGTAGAATTCATAAAGCTTAAAATAATCTTTGACATGAGATTAGGATATACTGTTATGGAATTTAAAATTAAGAAACATTTTTTCCTTTACATTTTGGAGAAGGTGATAAATATATTGTTTAAATAAAATTAATCTCTTTGCATATTAAGCATAAACCTTATTTTAATGAAATTCACTTCAGTCCTCATTGTGCTCTGTTTTTAAATGAAAACTTACATATTAAGCATCCTTAAAGACTGGCTCCCACATAATCCTTTAACCACGTATCAGTCGTATATTAGATAAGCTCTGAAAGCTTTGTTTCACAATAGCACATTTGTGTGCCAGCAGAGAT